AGTTGCAGCCTCCAAAAAAGTTTTCGCGTACGGTTTTTCGAAAAATCGACGCCCTGACAAGGTGAGAAAATCTTTTGACCCAAACTCAAATTGGAAAAGTTGTTAAAATATGTCAGCTGCATGTGAGTAGCGTCATCAAAATCAAAGTTTAAAAACAGGTCAGAAAAAGGCCAAAGTTCACGCGAAAACAAACTTTACAACGAAAATCTTTGGGAAAACGACCCAGTATGCAGCCGAGTAAAAACAAAAGCTAGGGATTTCAATTGTTCCCAACTCTCAGATACCTGTGACAAGTCCTGATGCCACTCCTTTAGATTTTTAATGGGTTTAGACCATTTATTAAAACCATAGCTTCTTCTCAGACGAGCTCCAGTTTTTTTTGGTGTTTCGGAAAAACCTTCAGGTGGAGTTGAAGAAGATTTCTCTCCAAAATATAGGAAAACTAATGAATTCGTGAAAACGGCGATATAGGCTAGCTAGCCAAAGGTCTGAGGAACGTATTGAATAATCGAAACAAATTCATTGACTCCGAGTGAAGGTTTGAGGTCAATTTTAAAACCTGTGCAAATACAATATGTGATTCTCAGTAATTTGCAAAACTGCTAGTTTAGTAATTGAACTTTTTCAACCCAAAAAGATAATTTTCATGGAAAGCGAACTAATAATATCTCACAGTAAAGTTTTTAGGGGTCTTCAAGGGCCAGAGAGAATTATTGAAGTGGAAACTTTACGGGTCACCAATTTTCGACATATTTCGACAGTGAACAAGATTTTATCAGTTATGCAAATTTTTATGTAGCGTACTTAAATCTACGTTTTAATTAATATGCAGAATGTAAACCTATACATATGTATATTCATGGTAACCAATGTTGTTGATATTTGTAAATAAATTCATTAAAGGTATAATTCTTACATACATAAAACTCGTGTCTATATGTATTAAAAGGTCCGAGCTAATTTTATTGGCAGCAACAGCAACTCATTTTGCAAAGTGATGGATATCTAAATTTTAATAAATTCTGAAAAATCTAAAATGCGCGATTCATTAGATTGGTCTTAAAATGGTCATGTGGGGTGTCGTTGGAAAGCTAATGACTGTACGAATGCTTCTGAATCAGTTACGCACCCCTCTGACCTCAGCGGAAGGTCATAGCGCCGTTTTAAGGCCACAATAAATAATTATTTATTTTGCCTTTGTCATATTTGAATGTTTAGTGTTTACATACATACAAAATCTTTAAAATACGAAACATCGAGTCTACGATCTGTGGAATTGATGCACTGCACTGTTATGAATCATTGTCATTTGTAGTTATCACGATTTCAGTTCGTCATTTTCGACATGAATTTTTTTTTGCTTCATGGAATTGTTTTGTGTGAAATACTTGTTGAAAATAGATTTTAGGATAAAAAATGTTTTGTCTAATTTTATGACATTCTAAAAAGTTCTATTTAGGTCATGGAAATTTGTTATGTCTTTATGATTTTCCAGCAATAACTTTTCAGTTTTGAAGTAGAAACCTTTAGTATTAAGTACATTCATGTATAAAGGCAAAAACATCTGCGTAATAAATTGACACTCTTATTTTTACTTTGTACAAAAGTCGTCGTCACTCTGTCTTTCCTTACAACGATCCTTAAATACATACCTCTGACAATACTTGCATAACTATACTACTTGTACACATCATTTTGTACTCTATAAATTCACGAAAAATTTATTTTTGATGCATACAATTTTAAGTTTTTATTATATCTTATATTTGTTTTTACGCATTTATTAATTACGAAATGTCAAGTATCAAATTTTTATTAATATATGCTGCACAAATTGATGTTTAGGTTTATGACCTTTTGGAAAACGGCTTCTACTGCGTTCGAATTTACGCCATTTCAGTGTTGTCGTGATCAATCTTTTTCCCGCAATATAAAACCTACTAGGATACAGATGACGACATATATTGAACTTACACTCGACGGACTTAGGCATAAAATTTCTCGGAGCGATTTTTGCTTCTGACGAGTAGAATTGTCATCCCAATGTAGTACTAATTTCTATAATCAACTTGAATTAAATTTGTTAAGTATACATTATTTACATAAATAGATTAATTGTTTATTTTCTATACTTGGGAACACATAACTAGCGCGCGTTTACAGTGTATTGCTTGAAGTCTTCACAAAACTCCACAGCTTTCGCCGCATTTTTTTTCAGAACTCCAGGCTGACCGATATTTCGACGACATAACTTTCAGCTGTTTCAATGCTGTCTCTTATATCCTCGGCACCTGGCAAAATATTTTGTCATGTTTCTTAACTATGTCCATAGATTACCTGTCGAACTAAGTGCATGTACAATAATTTTCGTTTCTTACTCACACAGAAAACACAATTGATACTTTTTAGACGTTTCCCAATTAAAAACAAATACAAGAAAACTTAAAATTGTTGTATACTTAAAATTGTATAGTTATGCAAGTATTTCACACAAAACATTTCCATGAAGCAAAAAAAAAATTCATGTCGAAAATGACGAACTGAAATCGTGATAACTACAAATGACAATGATTCATAACAGTGCAGTGCATCAATTCCACAGATCGTAGACTCGATGTTTCGTATTTTAAAGATTTTGTATGTATGTAAACACTAAACATTCAAATATGACAAAGGCAAAATAAATAATTATTTATTGTGGCCTTAAAACGGCGCTATGACCTTCCGCTGAGGTCAGAGGGGTGCGTAACTGATTCAGAAGCATTCGTACAGTCATTAGCTTTCCAACGACACCCCACATGACCATTTTAAGACCAATCTAATGAATCGCGCATTTTGACCTGCACACGGTCACCAAGACCTTATTTCAAAAAAAGAAAAAAAGGTCCGCAATTTGATTTTCCCAAGGTATGTGTGTGCAAAATTTGAAGTCCCTACGTGCAAAACCGGGCGCGTAAAAGTGGGATCTCAACAAAAGCCACTCCCCCTCCTACCGCCCCCACCGAAATTTTCAAAAATCGCGGACAACGGTTTTTGACCATCTTTTAGGGTCCCCCAACACATACTAGAAGGATTTAAAAAAACTCGATTTTTCGAATCACCTTCATTACCATATCTCGTGGAGCAACCCGTAAGAGTTCGCAAACTTACAAACCTTACTCAGTTACGAAGGTTACTAATGTTGACGTGAATACCCTCATAGTTTTATATATGTTTCTTGAAATGGTAATTAAGAAATAATAATTTTTTACCTCAGTAACGCACAGCTGAAGCGGAACGGACCCAAGCTATTTGTGAATATTGTTCTACCAAAGTCCGCTAAACGGGGTCCAGTATTTCGCATAAAGCCAATGCACCTCTATTTCATGCGAATGGGAAAAGTCCTGAGCGTTTTGACTCATAATTTCACCTACGCTGATAGACTGGATCTCGATTTCAATGCTTTCGCCGATGACATTAATATTTCTGATCATTACGTTCCCATCGTGGATAAAATTCGGCTCCGCTTTTTCGTCGATGTTCAAAAAGGTTAAGTGCACAAATTGTATTTATATTGAGCATGCTCGTGACAAAGTCTTATAACTTATTTAAACTCTAAATGTTTGTGTCGTGAGAGGATTCGCAAAATTTTACATTGCAAATCTACTTCTAAAAACACTTGGATATACCTATGTTGACTTGTTTCAATGAATTTCTCTAATTTCTCTCGCTGGCGATGGTGAAGATGAGTTTGCAAAATAATTTTGCGAAATAAAAGTATCCCCATTACTGGTTAAACTTGCGAAAAAGTCCCATTGTTTTCCAGCAAAATTTTAGCGAAATTTCGCAAACCTTCGTTCTGGCGCCGTGCCAAATTTGTAAGATATGCGATATAAGAAAACGTTGCAGTGAATACGCTCATTTCCACCTTTTAAAAATTGAATGTTTTAAACATAGCCTATGAAGTAGCAGACGTGGACAGAAAAACGCATTGCGACTCGATGCGTTCCGCAGAGGCCAAGCATCCATTGACCAACTTGAAGACATCGCTGGGGAAATTTGTCAATTCTGCAAAACTGTCAGATGTTGTGATTTGCTGTGAAGATCGGGAATTTTCAGCGAATCGATTGATTCTTTCAGGTCAATGTTCCACAATATTATTAAAATTATTTCAATGAGCGTACATACTTACTTATTTCGCATCGTAACTCGTTTAGTAAATTTGCGAAGTTGTTTTTAAATGTGTGGTGGGGGGAAACTATGACTTTGCAAATTTTTCGAATCTAAGCAAACAATCCTGTTATCCAGTTTAATTCGGTTTCCATGATTGTCTGAAATTTATAAGGCATTTAATAGAGAGGATGACTTTGGGACATAAGAACATGCACGCCCATTTGCGGGGTAAATTTGCAAAAACAATCCTACGACTATCTAGTAAATGTTTTGCCAAATTTCGCAAAATTTCGCAACTTGTGTTGATATGCTCAAAGTTGACGTGAGTACCCTAAACGTAAAATGACTATTATCAAAATTTTCCAAATTCATTTACACAGTAACAAGTCCCGTTTTTGAGAAGATGTTTGCATCCAAGACGCAGGAAAACGTAGGGCGACGCGTCGTGGTCAAAGACGTGGACAAAGGAGTGATGGAGTTAATGTTGGGGTATATGTATTGCGGCGAGGTGACCGTCCTTCCCGACCTGGAGAGTCTCATCGGCCTTTACAAAGCTGCCCACAAATATTGCATGGACCCTTTAAGAATTTGGTGTGCTTATCAACTTGTGGAAAATTACTTAAAGTGCGATCACGTTTTGGAACTTTGGTCCTTGGCCAAGACTTATGAAGAGACCGGTTTGATGGAGGAGACCAAACGCTTCATGAAAGCGTAAGAATTCTTATATGCACTCGGATTTTAGGTAGTTTTAAATAGTTTGTTGATAAAATGATGATAATTTCAGGGGGAAACGACAAATTTTCCAGGATCTGGAGCTTTACCTGGAGTTTAATAAGATTTACCCGGAATTGCTGCATGAGTTGTTTTTACTATGATCCCGTCATGTTCGATACATTCTTTACTTTAAAATTTCTATATATTTTTAAAGTGGTGACTTTAACATAAATTATGTACCAATTTGTTTCATGGTTTTATAAATGTTTGTATAAATTTCCTGATTCTTAAAGTCATCACATCAAGAATTACCTTGGTCCAACGAAGACCGCAGAACAATTTTACCGATTTTGACGCCCGAGATATTCTCAGTTAAATATTCATGAAATTTGTGTACCAAATAAATTCGAAAATTTCGGTAAATTTAATAAGCATAATTCCCAAACTAAATAGGCCCTGGAAAATTTAATGGTGTAAATTGAAAAATATGTAGATATGCAACTAAAACCACAATTCAGTAAAATCCCTATTTCTCCAAGGTATTTATGAATGCCGCTACAGTGTCTCACCAATTCTTTAAAGTAACTAATTTGTTCCCCCAAAAGTAGCATCCATTGGTCCCAGAATATGACATTTCGCACACCTTTACGACTAAAAATCTTTCTTGATGTGTGTTACAAAGATCAGTAAAGCCGTTTTTCTAAGAATTTTTGTTACATTTTCAAACAGTTCTCGATTCAAGTAGACATTGTGAAGATTTATACGTATGTAGATACATTGGCGTATGTACATTAGCATAAACAATGACCATGTATCTCGAATTAGTTGCACCATTAAATTGCTAAATCCTGCGATTGAAATTTCTCAACCTCTTCCCAATCAACTTCATATCCGGCGGAATACAAACGACCCAAATTATTCAGCAGGGCGACCCTATCACCCACCTTCTTTTTTAGGGACGTGTAGAAACTGTATTTCCCGCTCGCCAGTGGATCGTTGCTGGATAAAATATCTTTCGCCATTTGGATGTGAATGGGGTGTGGTCCAATTTCCATGAAATGTGTGATCCCCTCTCCCACGGCGGTTTCAACGGCCAAAATAAATTCCGCTGTTCCCGTCAAGTGGTCGAGGAAATATTGTTTGTCCAGTTTCTCCCACATTTTTCCGGTCACGGTGGAGATGTATTTGCACTTGGCGGGTTGATAGTTGATAGCGGATGTGGTTTTGGAAAATTCTGGTATGATCGGCAACGTGAGAGAGGAGTGGTACGGATGATACGGGTAAGTAATGGTCTTGATGCCGTGTTTTTTACAAGTTTCTGAAATTTGGAGAAAATTTGTTAAAAAATATGGTACAGATTTCGGAAAATGAGATCATACATACAGAAAAATAAAAATTTCGCATCTGAGACAATTTGTAAAAAATAGAATAAAAGCTTATACAAGAATTTCACACGTGAATTGTTTGACTTTTTGATTTTCAAGTTTTTTGAAAGAAGAATTAAAATATTTGATTAATAATTTAAAATTCTTTGAATTTTAGACATAATTCATTTCAACGTTTTTTAAACGAATTGGAAACTTGAGTTTCCAATTTAGTACTTATCATTCCATAAAAATTCTGTAAAAACCAGAATTTGTGAATCACGTGAACAATGTTTGTATCTTCTGGATTCTAAATTTTCGAACTTTGCTCTGCTTTCAAATACAATCAATTCTTACCTATCAACTTTTCGGTATACTTAGCTTCGCTTAGGACACAGGTCTGCTTGGGTGAATTTCTAGCGACAATTTTAAACCAAATATCCTCCATTCCTTCATCCTTCCTCGCCTCAGCCACAATTTCTTCAAATCTCTTTTGATCCATCATCCCCACGCAGAAGGCTTGCTCTTGAATGTGATCAGTCATTAGTCGCACACGCGTCATGACGAGGCGAAACGACTCTTCAATCGTGATCATTCCTGCCATTGCGGCAGCGCCGTATTCGCCAAAACTTAGACCAAGAACATAATCGGGTTTAATCCCCCATGATTCCCAAAGTTTGAAGAGGGCGAACTGCAGGGCGAGCAGGTAGGGGAGAAAGTTGACCGGCGACTTCATCCAGTCCGGGACGACATTTTCGTCAACTTCCTCCAGAAGGAAGGCCTTGATGTCGATGGCGTATTCAGATTTTACCAGAGCGGCACAGAAATCGAAATGATGGCGAAAAACGGTACTGGCGCGGTATACTTGGCGTCCCATTGTGGGATAGTGGGTACCCTGGCAGGTCACGATGCAGCATAGTTTTGGGGGCTTGGATGGAATCCGGGCCATGGGAGGAGTTATTTTGTCGAGGGTGTCGACAAGGTCAGATTTACTGGAGTAAAGGACACATTTTCGATACTCGGCGGTATCGTTGAAAGCGATGGTTAAACCAGATTTTGATAACGAGGTCAAATCGGATTCTTGGAGTAGTGCCATTTTTTGAAGGGCGTAAGTCAGGTCGTTTACCGTTGGTGCGGTGGCGTGGATTATTTTGGCGTCGGATGACCTATCAACGACCTTGTCGAAACCGGGAGTGTCCGGGTCACAGAATGTGGTCCCGAGTAAGTTAACCATGTCAAAAATAGGGCCTACATAAAGAAATTACGGATTAATACATACATATGTAACTACACATGCTTCATACCATATTTTACCAACTTTTTCTATACACTCTAAATATTTAAAGTTGTGTAAAATTTATTCAAGGTTGAGTGAGAAAAAAAGCATAACACAATAATTGGGTATAATCCGCCCAACTTTGGGTATTGTCCATATTTGCTTGGATAAGTTTACCAAATTGTTATTTATTTAAATAGTTATTTAATTCTTTATTTTACATAGTCTTGAGTAGTGCAAATTTTACACACCTTTATTTAGAGTATATGCGCACAAGATCCAAATATAAATTCATATTTTTACTCGAGTACTTAAAACATATTTAAATTTGAGATAGTAACCAAAAAGCTAACCTTCCATTTTAACGATAGTGAGACACCTGCAAGTCCAGTGATAAATTTACGACTGAGACTGACCAAGGAAAATTGCTGGTTTAAATAGTGTCAAGTTTTCAGCGTACCCAGTGGCACAAAGCCTGGTAATGGTTTTGTTGCATCATGCAACTTATGTACGTTATTCAGCATATGTAAATAAGTATGTGTACAAAGCTTTAATTGACGAGTTCGTTGTGTCTGAAGATCGACTACCATTAATCGCATCATAAATGCATATATTATATAACGAGCTTACATATCTACTAATTCTTCCACTCGGTATAAATATGTACGCATATATTTATCTACAATTTACCTTTTCAACATATACAAGTATTAAAGTCTGTCCATTTCACTCGACTGCATATACACACCTAAATATTATATAATTACGACTACGTGGAATACTAAACCGTAAATGATTATAAAAACAGCACTAATTAATTCAAGATTGATAAATAGTGTAGTAGCATGATTTACGTCCCATTGAAACCGAGTTGATCGGGAGAATCTTGAAAATTTTAATACATACACTCTGTCCCATATAAAGCAGATTTTTTGTTATAAACAAATATATCTATATTATAAGCGAGAATTTCTGTCGGCAACGGAAGTGAAAGTAAATCTGTCTGTGACGGAAGTTTGTCCGTGACGGAAGTGAAAGCAGGGAAAGTCAAGTTTCAAATGCGCGAAAATTCAAAATAAAGCAAGTACAAAACATGTTTCAAAAGTTGGGGGAGGGGTGTGTCGTATGGTTTTCAAAGGGTGATTATCTAATGGTGGTTATCTGAAGGTAGTCGTCTTTGTGTGATTCTCTAAGGGTGGGCGTACGTGAGTGGTTATCTTTGATGTGCGCGATTATCTTAATTTGGGGGAAGTTATCTGTGGGTGGAGTTACCAGAAGGTGGTTATCTTGGTGGATGGTTATCTTGATGGATGGTTATCTTGGTGGGTGGTTATCTTGATGGATGGTTATCTTGGTGGGTGGTTACCTTGATGGATGATTATCTTGGTGGGTGGTTATCTTGATGGAAGGTTATCTTGGTGGGTGTTTATCTTGATGGATGATTATCTTGGTGGGTGGTTATCTTGATGGAAGGTTATCTTGGTGGGGGTTATCTTGATCGATGGTTATCTTGGTAGGTAGATATCTATGGGTGGTTATTCTGGTTATCTTGGTTGGTTAAAGGTGTTATCCGAAAATTGGTTATCAAGCTCTTGCATATATATGCTCTTGCACTTCGTAGTTTCAAGTTGAAGTGCAAGATGAAGTGCAAGATGAGGTGCAATTGCATTTCACCTCATCTTGCACTTCGATTCTTGCACTTCGTAGGTTCAAGTCGAAGTGCAAGATGAGGTGCAGGATGAGGTGCAATTGCATTTCAAGTCATCTTGCATATGCTCTTGCAATTCAAGTTAAGCAGGGGAAGATAAGATGTATTGCAAGAATCGACTTCAATGCAATAGTAAATGGGCTTGCCAGTCGTCTTGCATTTCAAGTTAAAGATGCCACGACAAGACGTATTTCAAAAAACGACTTGAAATGCAGTAATAAGTCGTCTAGGTATACGACCGGCATTTCAATATGACGACAGGTTGGTGGCGTTGCTGCAATTATTGGGCTGCTACGATTACTAGACTGTAGCGTTTTATGGGCTAATGGGTTGGCTGGTGCGTTTACTGGGCTGAGGGTTTAGGACTGGTGCGTTTACTGGGCTGAGGGTTTAGGACTGGTGCGTTTACTGGGCTGAGGGTTTAGGACTGGTGCGTTTCCTGGGGTGATGACTTTACTTGCTGAAGGGTTTGCTGGGCTGGTGGGTTTACTGGGTTGGTGCGTTTACTAGGATGGTACAGTTATGTAATGGGAGAGTATAAAAGTTCCTTTGAACATGCGCCAATTTTAACACTTCCCGATTACCACCACCAATCACTATCATAATTCTTTCTAGCTAATTACGCAAATTATCTTAACTTATTTTACTCCCGTTGCGGACAGGCATTCAAAGTTTGAAATTTATCGCCCGGCGAAGGCGGGCTTATTAGCTAGTTTATCAATAAAAAAAAGTCTTAGCAAATAAAACCTGCAAAAATACCACGTGGTTTGTGCACCCCAGTTGACTAAAACCATGTATGTAGTACTTGTACATGAAAGTACATTACTACTTTATTGCGCATTTGTGAGACCAATTCGGTATCCGTCGTACGTATCTATGTACTTAATAGTAAATGGTATTTAATTTTACATGGTTGAGCATTATGTAACACTTACATACATGCAAATGTATACATGCACAAATATACATATGTGAGGTTGTTGGGCAGAAAAACCGTCATGAAATTGATCCTCCCGTGTCCTCCGTCGTGGTATATTTGAAGATACTTACGTATTTACGTAGGCATTTCTGTATTTATAAATGCATATACATACCTAAATAAATGTAGCTATGAATATTTTTAACTCTGAAGCCTCATATGTATCTCTTTTTTCTGAGAAAAAAACTATATCGAAATTATTCAGAATTAACTGTATGAGCCGATTCCGCTAAGAAATTGGAGATTATAGATTTGATACACCGAAACCAAATAATTTAGTGGAATTTCTTTCCCCCAAATTCCGAATAAAGCTGATCTTCGTCGATCAAAGTCAATAAATACTTCTTCCATTCCCTCTTATTTGTTCCGAACATTGGAAACCGAATCTTGATTTCTGGCGGGGTAACGGGTCGGACGAGTCGTGTAGCGGCGTCCACTCCAGAGGGAACTACATAATATGTAAATATTTAGTTCTAATTCGTTGTGCAAATTTTTTTACCTAAAACGCCAAATATTGAGTTGTCTCACTATTAACCACAATTACTCGGTACATCATATACTTGTAGTGTTTCTGGTATTGGATGTGCGCCGTAAAGAGTGCTACACCTGTATTGATAATAAGTACTAATATTAGATTTGTTTTAACAATTAATTTTTGCGAATATTTAACAATTAATATTTGCGAATTAATTTTTAGTATTTTACAAGTATTTAAAATTGTCTTCGTATCCGAAATTCGTACAATAGTTTATAAAGAAACAGAAGGGGTAAGCTTCGTGAAAATCGGAATAGAAATTTTTGGTGACAAAGTCTTACGATATTTACAAAATCTCGTGTCCGTCTTAAGATTTTTACGATGCGAAGAATGCTAAGGATATGTACGAAGGGATAAGAAATACTCTCGATAACAATTTTAGCCGATTTTGTCCTGATAATGAAAAATATACCTATGTATGTAAATGCATACACTTTTACGTACATTGAGGACATGCTGTGGCCGTGGACACCAAATTTGCCCCATTAATAAGAAGAATCCCCTGTGTAAAGTTACTTCCATTGTCCATCCTTTGTTGGATTGTAACTCTCATTCGTTCAAAACATGAGTCCAAGGCGCGAAAAAACCTATCCGGTTTGTCCACTAGCGCGGCCATGTTCCACTCGGAGAGAGAAAAGCTAAGAACTAATGTCATGATTTCAGAAATATTAAAGTTTATTAAGGTCTGAAGAACCAAAAAAGACTTACTTGGTCGTCCTTTCTTGTCACTAGTATCCATGGAGAATGGAAGGAGGTGGTACTCATAGGAAAAGTCTTCTTCAAGAATGGTATCAATTTTGTTTTGTATTCGCCATTCCAAGGTCTACAATATTTAAAAAGCAAGAAAAAATGGGAGTACCCAACCAATAACTTCTTATATCTATTTGGTAAACACTCTTATGTAATAAAGACATGCCCTTTTTTAAAACCATATCTTCTCATTCTCTACCCAAGGTTTTTGCAAATTTCGTAAGAAAAATATGTTAACTTTCTTAATTTTCGAACTAATGTGAAGTGTTCTGGGAATATCCTTCTTTAGAAATCTACCCTGATAAAATCTACTTAAATACAAATTTGGCAGCTATTGGTTAAAAATCTAATACCTCAAGAATGTTTTCCTCCGCCAGTTTTACGTCGAGCTGCGCCGCCCGTAAATATCTAATCAAATTCAAATCTTGTCGAAACCATGTGGCCGGTAGGTTATTCCAGATCAATAATCTAAACTGAGTTGCAATTATTTAATTAGAATTTTATATTATTAATGCACCGAATAAAACCCGTTACTTTGTCAAGTGCCAGTTTTTCCGACAGGGACAGAATAGTTTCATCCTTTTCCGAATTCACAGAAATTAAGAGAAGAATACATACCAATGCACAATATTTCCACCCAAAATTTTGAAATTTACTTGATCCCATTGCATACAATAGGTTCGCTAAATAAGCAAATTGACCACATGTGTCGTTGGTAATATCTGAACAAGGGTGAAGAGTGGCAGTTTATACTCACCCATGGAAATTGTGTCCTTGCGCAAATATGTATCTTACATAAAATAAATATTAAGATTTAATTTGTTATGGTGTTGCATACATATGCATGCATAAATGTATGTATATTATATACATATATAAATACCAATACATAAAGTGGGATTCCTGCAAGCAAGAATAAAACTGGTTTTCTTCTCTTTCTGCTAAATAGAATCAAGTTCTACCCCGTATTAGAATAGCAACTTACATACGTCTTACGAAATTTTGCGAGATGTCGCAAACCTTGTGCTGGAAAACCATGGGATTTTTCTTGACAATTTACCCAGCAAGTGGGTATGTTTTTAGCTCTAAAACGATTTTGTTATCAGCTTATTGTGAACGTACAAGAGTAAGGAAGCTGCATACAAATTATTAATAGATTTACTACAGGGTGTTAATAAAGTCCGATCCCATTTTTCCTGTAAAAAAGTGAAGGCTAGTATAAAAAAAAACTACCCGTGATACTTACAAAAAATGTTCGACATATTTACCTTAGTATTTGGTCTTGTTACCATTTACTTTAACCATGCCCTCAACTCTTTGTTTAAGGCTCTGTGCTAATTTTTCCAATGTGCCTCTGGAAATCGAATTCCATACATCTTGAACTTTTTTTTACTAGCTCTTCCCTCGTTCGGGGTTGTGGCTCTTTGTATACATTTTCCTTAAGTATGGACCACTGGTTCTTCAGGGGATTCAAATCTGGGCCGTTAGCGGCCCACACCCCCTTGCTCCAGACCGTTGAAACTTGCGTCTTGATGAGACTCAAACTCGCTTTTGCTGTATGGGCTATAGCACCATCCTGCATGAAAACTATTTTTCTTTCATTCGGAAATATTTCCTTGTTCCCCATGCTATCGAAATAGATAGGTAATATTTTTTCTATATAATGCTTTGCATTGACTGATTGGCCTTTTGGTATGATATGTAGAGGGGTCACGCAACGTGCACAAAATCCACCCGCTACCATAACTTTAAGCCCGAATTTTGGGATCGCTCTTGATGGTACATCCGATTTGTTTTCTGTCCTGTAACGAACATTTTGTTGGTTCAATTTTGGATATAGTTCAATAATAGATTCGTCAGTCCAAAGGATGTGACTGCGCAATTCTTCACCAAGTCTTTTTTCACTCAAATGGGCACTTTTCTGGAGGAGTTCTTCAAATTTCAGACGGTCACCGATATATTTTTGTGACATGAGAGGTTTTTTTGGTTAGTTTGTAAGCTGTGTGACCCCACTTCGTAGTTTTCACAAATTTTTGCACGGTCACACAGTTAATTTGCTTCTTCTTCTCTTTATAGCGTTTTGAGTCATTTAACTCCCTTGCTCAATTACGTAATGAACTACCGGTTTTCTTGCAAAGTCTGTTTTTAATCATTCTTTTTGTGGTAGGTGACACCTTTCTGGGTCGCCCTGGTCGCTTTTTGTCGTGGACAAAATTTTTATTCTTCCATTTCCAAACAGTTCTGCGGCTGCAGCCCAATTTTTGCACAATTTCTGTAGGTTTAAGCCCCTGCTGATGCAATGTTTGTATCTCAACTCTAAGATGCTCATGACTTACACGTTTAGTTGTTCCTCCCATGGTAAAAATTTGAAATAAATAACTTCACTGGTTCAAAAGTTCCAGCTGAATTTGTAACAACCACGCTCCAAAAAATGCATGGGATCGGACTTTATTAACACCCTTTATACACATGTACATACACCAATTTTTACAAGTATACACTTAAGTAAGTAATTATATCTATATTATAAGCTGGAAATGTTTGTCTGCAACGGAAGTGAAAGTAATTTTCCGTGACGGAAGTGAAAGTGGGGAAAGTTTCACTTCCTTGCCAAGAGACGTTTACAGCTAATAATAAGGTCCAATAAAAAAATAATTCTGTGGAATTATGGACAATCCCAATTAATTTTCACGAAAATCAAATAAGCCCGTCGCCCGGTGGGAGACGGGCTTATACGCTAGTTTATTATGTATTAAATATTTATTATTAATTGTAGTCCACGGAGTTTTTAAAACTTCGAATAAGTACAAAATTATGGGGTTGTTCACGTCAACTTCATCTTCGCAACTTCGCAATATTTGCGAAAAGATACATTTAATACGATAACCAATCGAGTAGTTCATCTTTTTTTACGAAATATTAACATAAATATGTGACAAAGAAAGTCATCTATCATCGTCGTAAACTATTTTCGCAAACTCATGGTCAACTGGAATTTGCATAGCCCTTCCTTCCCATTTTCAGTTTATGCATTTTCATTTAAAATACAAATAAGTTGTTCATTGCTCTGATTTCGGAAACACTGCAAAATTGCGAAGATGTGTTACGAAGCGGCGTTATGATTGACGTGAATACCCAAAATGAGCAAAAATATATTTAGAAAGGAATTTAGTCTTCGTCGCAAAGTTCCAGTTGAGGAAGTTCTTTCTCATCCTGACTTGATAACATGCTACCCAAATAACTTTTCAAAGATGAGAAACTTGGCCGTTCATTAGGTTCAGAATGCCAGCACATAGACATTAAATCATAACTGAAAATTTACTTAAATTCAAGATAGTTTATGCTGAATTAAATAAAGCTGAATTCGAAAATCCTTACATTTCATCACTCGCATGCTCCGGCTTTCCGAGTCTCAGGCCGTTCGAAATTTTTTTCACGAAGCTAGCGTCATATTCAAACCCCGCGTATGGAACGGATCCCAGAGTGAAAATTTCCCAAAGAGTTACGCCAAAGGACCAGACATCTGTGCATGTAGAACAACACCTATCGGTCAGCGAATCCAGGGCCATCCAGCGCCAAGGGAGCATTACCTGGATAATGGCGAAGGCGAATAATTTGCATACGTTGCAATTTTTTATTCGGTGTCCATTTATGTGCATTTTTTAAACTTTTTTTAAATTGCGCATAATCGCGGTTAATTTCGAATTTTTTAAAGCACAAGTATCGCAAGACAACGAAGTATTCGCTACAAAGGGTGTATATGTATTTACGAACAATCGCTGAAGTAAATACTTGAATCGCTGAAGTAAATATTTTCGAAAAAAAAACATTACAATGATAATTTTCACAAAAATTTGTGTTTTTAACGTCTTATGTTGTGTGATTAAATTGCCTCATCGAAATATTTTCAAATATATGTATAATGTATGCGTTCTTTAAAAAAATATATAAAATCATTACGGGTTTTTCAAATAATCCAGGAAATATTTCTAAATATTTGAATGACAACATATTTAGTAATATATGTCAAAATATGTCGAAATTGTTATGACCTATGTCTAATGGTAATAATAAGGAAACACACACAGAACGTTCGACCATCGGTCGCCATCAAATGAAAAAGTTGAAAATAAATGCATATATCCACCCTCTGATTATCTGTCTCACCTTAGTTTTCCTCGTGTACTGAGTGTCCTCATATAACTGTTTTGATAACCCAAAGTCCGTGATTTTTGCCACAAGTCGTCTCGTTAGGAGAATATTTCTTGCCGCAAGATCGCCATGAACTACACTCTTTTCACCCAGAAATTCCATTCCGCAAGCAATTTCAAAACTCCAGTTGATCAAGTGCTGCATCGTGAGGGTGTTTGTGGCTGAAACATTGTCGTAATTTCGTGGCGATGGGGACACATTTGTGTAACCATTTTGTATCTCTTTTCCAGATTTAAAAAAGCTTCTACGGTTCCTCAAAAATTTTTCGAGATTTCCATTTTCGCAATATTCCACAATAAGATAGAGATTACCTAAGTTGCGAAATTTTTAGAATATTGCAAATATTCATATTCTACTTGTACGTATGTAGATACCTCTTGTCAAATCTGACGTATTTGCGCCCAAAATTTGCACAATATTGGGCGCCTTCCCCACGTATAGCATGATCTTAATTTCTGCCAATAAAGCCCGCAACGCGATAATGTCTGCTCCAGGTTTACAAGACTTGATCGCCACAACGGTTTCTGTATCGGTTGTCGGATTCCTTAGATAACCCTTCGTCACAATTCCGTAGGCACCCTCGCCAAGCCTTACCTTGTCTATGGGACAGAATTCAATAAGAAATTTCCGAAAAATTGATCAATTCAAAGTCAATACATAGTCAACAAGTGAATCGTAGCGGTGGTTCTTATTTTGTCCCATCCATATTTATGTGGCGGTTGAAAATACGATTTAAATCTTGACTATGAAACGGGCTGTTGTATGTACCCACCAAACTCTAATCTTTCCATGGGAATTTCATAGTCGGGATTGTAGGCGGACATATTGGCCCCTTCCTCGTTAAGGAGCTGATTCGCCATTTCTTCAGTAAGTGTTGCTCGCTTATGTAATTTAACCAATCAATATTTAAATATGTACATAATTCGATATATTTGAAAATTCATAATTGATCACTTACATTACGGAATCTCCTAATCAGCTCAAACATTCCTAAAGAGACAAAAACTAAAGTCATTGCTGTAATCGCGAGGGCCGTTTGGGTTGTATAATCTTCTCCTATTTTTAAATAGTACCGTAAATTGATAACATACTGAATTCTTTACATTGTAACTAATTAACCTGTCACAACCACTGTGAACGTTTCGTTAGCGTGGCCATAGTTATTTTCCGCACGGCAAACATACTCCCCCTCGTCGGGATAGGATACCACAGAAAAACTGAGGACCACTTCTTGATTTTTGTGAAGAACTGCTGGCTGAACCTGTATTTCGAAAAGGATTAGTAAAATTAGGGAAATATGCAAATAAATGTATGCAACTATTTAATGTATTACATACGATGCCATCTCGTAACCATTGGATTCTTGGCGTAGGCCAGCCATCCGCATGACACGATAAATATCGTTTCTCTTCGTTTATTTTAAAATCGTAGGTCTTCTTGGTGGTGAGAATCTTTGGAAGAATAGGATCTGAAAATTATTAGTAATTTCGGTAAAACGAATCAAAAACGGATAAGATCGGGTTTCTGAAATCGTTGATCCAATAAACTCTGACGGAAACATTCAGTTACAGGATAGGAGTGTTTTAGCCGAGGGTAACGAATTCAATTAGGAGAAAGTGTCCAACCGACTGAACTCTGGTTGTGTTCTTAGAAAGCATTATATCAAAACCTATCGCGTTAATTGATCCTTAATAAATATCAGACTACAATATACCCACCTTTAAGTTCCACCATTCTCGAAACGCTAATTGTTTCGCTCTGTTTATGTCGGTACTTGACAGAGCAGGTCACCATCTTAATGTCAGAGGTGAAACGTATCATGGCTTTGCCCTCAAACCCCGTAGACGTCATTCCATCTTGAATATCAGCGGAGAAAAACCCTTCTTCCATTCCTTTCAGTATATTTGGTGCGTCATCTTTTCCAATGATTTTCTCTTTTATGGGGGTCTGTGTAATTTCTAGGGAGAAATTGTCACCTGGAAGAAGAGGTCATAGATACATATACTTGAAATACATATTTGTGGGCAAACCCCATGGCAACATGTGGTAAGTCTCGTAACATGAACTTTTCCACACAACTTTCGGAATTTCGGAAACTCTTCAAGTCATTTTACTTGTCTCTAAATTTACTCGAAAAATTTCTGCGGACGCTATTAAGATTATTTACAGTGTTATTTACAGTGTACCGGAATAAAGTGGTTTCTTGCAGTTATTTTGACCTGCACGAACTGCAAGGCGCAAGAAACTACTTGCCGCCGCTGGAGTTCTTATGGCGCTTGGCTAGATGGCGCATAATTTAGTTTCTTGCGCCTTGCGTTTTTACATTACTTTCTATCTGGTGTAAGAAATGTAAATATTCAATAACAAAAAACTGAATATTTGCCAAGTTGTTCGCGCTGCGTAATAAGATGTTGTCGCGAGATGTCACATATTTAAGTTTGTTTATAAATATGTACGCACCATTCGCCCAAGTTTCGTCCTCCACATCTAGCAATAAATGACTCCCATTCTTTAAAACCGCCGCGAAAAACATGTCGCCATCGAAGAAGAACGATTTAGCGCGACATATTACTATGATCTTCAAGGGGTCGTCGTCCATTGTAATGATCGGAAAAATGTATAAACCCGGTTTTGTGTATTTGTCTGCGCAAATAGAATATCCTATCAGATTTAAAAATTTGTAAGATCTTACACATGTTTATAAATATTTACCTATTACTACCCCATTTATTTCCACCATATTTTTCGAAATGTTTTCATATGAGGAAAATATATCCACAGTATTTTTAATTAAATCTGTAACACATTGTTCTTAATAAAGCATTGTCTTTCCCGCCATTATTGACGTTAAATTATTTACATATGTCGCCTTCAAACCCTGCAAAAAACATGGCATGGGTTACTTCGTAATCGTCCGAACAGGACAGCAAGCCTGACGGGTAGTTTTTCACGTCGTAATTGAACGCATAACCGACAGAAGTTTTTCTTCCATCGGTATATTTTGTCACCTTGGAAAAAACCGTCAATTATGTTTAAGAAAATTTCGAATATATATTTGTTTCAAAATATTTCGACACCTCTTTCGTAAAAGCGTCATTCTTAAGATGCATGCATTCGATGGGGTTTGCACAGTAGAGAACAGCCATCAAGGGTAACCTCTTATACGCAGATCGACATCTTATCTTGTGCTTGCCGTTCTCCAACTGAAATCCAATCTCGTCAACGGTGGCACCATTGAAGTCGACAAACGCTATATAAAATCAAATACATATTTTGATAACTCCTAAATAGTAAACCTTAACACAGGATCCATTTCAGTCAATATTAAGGCATCCAAAACGGGTTTTTCCGATTTTGGAAAACAATTTAAAAACCGGTATCCTTGTAATCGAAACCAATTTGCAAAAAAAAACAGTTCAGAAACCGGTCTTATTTCACCCCGACCCTTGGCTCCGGGTTCGTTGGCTGTGAACTGTGAAACCTATGTACTTCAACTCTCAAAATGCATGGTACACTCACAATCTCCAGGTCCCTCGATAGTCCACTCATGTTGAATAGGTGATAAACCGGATCGAGTCTCATTATGGAAACACTTCACCGCAAATGTAAAGCTCCACGATGTTTTCAGCGATATCGAAATATTAAGTCCGTAACGAAACCTTGTACCGGGTAGATTGAAAAATTCCACCGTCAATTGGGGCAGCATGACAAATCCGTCGTGCATAACTGCATGATTAATCCGCTTCCTAGAAAAACAACTAAAATGCAGTGATTTCGTGGGATGTTGGAGCACTTGCTTGTAATGTGGATTCCACGTGGGTGGAGAAATGATCAGTTCTGGAAGCGGAAAATATCACAATTTATAGCATTTTGACGAGCGAATATTTTACGTGAACAATTATAAACGTTTTTGTAAACATTAACAACCAACCTTCCCTTCGTAGAACAAATTTCACGTAATTATTCTCCAAATCCACGGCACAAACGTAACGTCCCCACGGACTTTTTATTTTACTCGAATTCAGCCGGAATCCTTTATCGATGAAATATGTCGTCAAATTAACGTGAACGAGACGATGTGCGGATAAAGTGTTCGTCTAGAAAGCACATTGAGATTACGAAAAATTGCGAAATCATATTTTGCGAATCTCCGCACGAGACAAATTCTTTTGAGGTTTGCAAGTGTGCTAAATGAGATGTCATGTTTTTATTAAGATATTTTTCTTACTTTTAGCAAATGATAGTTTTCGACTGTCAAGTCATCCAGTTCATCCAAATTTGGGCAGTTGGCACTTCCATGGTCTTCAAGTTGTCCCGTGGTCCGATTGATACTCATTGAGGTGCACGGGGTCTGAGGATCATACCCGTAATCACGGAAAAGCAAGGGGTGTGGTTTCACCAAGGGGGACAAACAAGGAAGTGTAACAATCTCATCGGTTGCATTAATATACACAGTTTCACCCCTTCGTAGGAGGTAAGCTGGCCCTAAAATTTTACAAAATGCGTATCAGATTTCCAACATTTGTCCGAATCTTGTAAACTTTTTAACTTTTGAATTCTTCTACACACTCTTACTAGGTATACTATTTGGGTGGGTGGAGAGTTCAGATATCCAACTATGCAAATATTGCACAATATACCAGTTTGAAACAATATGCATAAATTTCCGTGTTAAAATCACTTTTGAAAAAGTAATGACGATTATAGTGACGCAAGTCTAGGAATTTTCTCAATGCTTTAGCAATGGTGAAATATTTGCTTTTGACCTTTACGGATTACACTCTCTATCCACCTCTGGCGGAGACATTGTTTCGCTACGCTTCTAATCATTGTCCAAATCAGCCGTCCAAAATGTCCAAAATGAACAAAAAGTGTCCAAAATAGAAAATGGGCCAAAATGTTGCAATTTCTTTGAATTTTACATTTGAAATGTTAAAATGTTACATTTTTTGAAAATTTAGACACATATATTTTATTCTCCTTATTAAGTAGTTTTCAACATTTATATGGCATTATTTGGAATTTTTTGCTTAAATATGTTTCCTAATGAGAAATTACGAAATTTTCCAAATAATTCTATATAAATGCTCAAAAATACTTAATAAGGAGAATAAAATATATGTGCGTAGATTTAGAAAAAAATGCAACAAATAAATTGCAACATTTTTGCACATTTTCTATTTTGGACACTTTTTGTGCATTTTGGACATTTTGGACGGTTACTTTTGACAAAGATTAGAATCGTAGCGAAACAATGTCCCCGCCAGAGGTGTAGAGATAGTTAGTGAAGGTCATAAGCAAAAATTTCACCTTTGCTACAGCATTGAAAAAATTCCTAGACTTGCGTCACTAAAATCGTCATTACTTTTCCAAAAGTGATTTTAACACGGAAATTTTTGCATATTGTTTCAAGCCTATATAGTGTGCAATATTTGCATATAGTGGGATATCTGAACTCTCCACCCACCTAAATAGTATACCTAGTTAGAAAACTGGTATTAAATCATTACTGACTAATACTGACCGGAGTATATATTTTTATGAACCTACTGCCACTGGTATGTAATAACGGGCATTGGAATTTAGAAATGTTGTGGTAATGGAAAATTTACCACTCAGGGACAAACTACTACAATTCCATTAGGAAGCTATTGTCAAATTAATTCTAGTACAGAGTATATCTAAATACCAGATTTTTAACATTGCAATGTCAGAACGACTTCAAATACATGAGCAAATTTGTAAATTAGGCAATTTTGGTGCAAGAATTTGAATTCTGTTTTTTGAGTAACGGTTGCGCATTAAAATTCGCATACTTAAACTTATATTTAGAATCATCAGATCGAGTTAAATTGTGAGTATAGAAGTAAGCAGATATGTAATACATATAATATATATTTACATTCTATTTAACATCTGCGCTACAAATTAAATATACGTATGAAACTTAAATGATACCTAAATTTAGTTATTGAAATTATTCACTCACTTCGTTCAAAGTCATAAAGGAAATAGTAGGTTACTTCCTCTGACAAATTTCTCCTTGCACGGCACCCATACCAACCGATGTGATCTGGTGAAAATCCATACAAATCCACGCTTACTGAATAAATCCCATTTGTTTCGTCCATTTCGACATAAATCCCATCCAACGGGTACTAAAATTCATACATTTTAAAAATTATAAGGCATGGATTTCTGTCAAATTTTAAATAAGTACGAACAGCGAAATTATGTATACTCACATTATCTCCATCGAAATGGAATTCAATCGGGAACTCGGCCATGCAAGTAAAGTCTGGATAGAGGTGGACAAAATAAACGATTCCGGTACTAACATTATTGTTATCACCAATTTGTCCATAACTTTGTCTTAACTTTGTCCATTGTGATAACTCGTGTACTTTAACCTCTTTACAATTTTGATTAGCTTTATATTCAATGCCAAGCTTAATGATGTGACATGATTCACAAATACTGAAGATCCAAATTATAATTAGAAAACGTTGCATTTCGTTCTGCATACGTTAATGATTAACTGAATGTAACTAAAATGTTAAGAAGCAGCACAATCCGAAATTTCATGAGGAAAACCTCACAGCCAATAGTTGACCTTTGTTTCCGTTCGTTATTTATATTTATTTTTTTAACATTTAAGACATAAGCACATATGTATGTACATACACATGCACATATCGAATAGCATCGAATTTTATATAGCAAATTTTTATCAAGGAAATATTGTTAAAATTTATTAATTGTTTTCTACAAAAATGTATTTATGTATCAATTAGAAAATGTGTACACGCATGCTATATCTATTTATGTACATACATATGTATGTGTATGTATGTTATGTATGCAAGGTATATACATACATATTTTTATGAGATTGCCCACGTCTTGAAATAAATTTAAAAAAATTGCATACAAATTATTTAAAAATGTCGAGCAAGCTGAGTAAGTATGAATACTACTTTGTAATCGTGTATTTTTTTAATAATAATTCATATTGGCAACAAAATACGGGACACAAACTAACACAACTTATGCTCATGTAGCGAGAAACAGAGATTTTGAATCTGGTTGTGAGCAACGGATATAAATAGTTTCCCTGGTAATTGGATATTGAATAAAGTTAATTAAATGTGGAATAGGTACTTGTGTTAACTGTTAAGGAATTGTCGCATATTTACCGTTACATCTCGAATTGAGCTTCTAATTTAAATATCAAACTTGTCGACGATTCGCCTTATAGGAAAGCGAAGCCGTTACCGTGTAACTAACTATAGCCCCAAAAAACGCAAATTTTGTCGATCTCTTGCACTTATACAAATAAAATCCTAAAATCCCCCCATACACGGCAGACAATCTGATCGAACTTAACTTTCTCTTCAAATATTTCTTATCCTGACTCCCACCCAATAAACACATCCACTTGGCCCGAAGCACGACACCATCTTCGTACACGCTTACTATCAACGGCAACAACAACTGGATCACACCTGCCATTAATAGTGACACGGCGGGAAAATAAGGAAATGCAGAAGGCGGGATAATTCCGTACATATTGAGCGAAATAAAATTAAACAGGGCATTTACCCACATCCCGATGAACATTGTAATTCCAACAAGTGGAACAGCAAATTCTTCCGATATTGCAAAAATTATCCGAAAGCTGGCATAACCACGAAGATATTTGTCTACTATGGCATTATTTGCAGAACACAATTGATAACCAGCTGTCCTGAGAAATGTCGATATGCACTCGAGTGACAAGTAAACGGTTATCGCGGGAGCACAAATAAATACGCAGATTGTTCGACTTATCAAAAACAAAGGGACGAATAATGTTACCCCCAGAAATAAAAGGGCACCTTTTACAACAAATGGTAACCGCCATCCCTGCTCGATAATGATCGAATACAGTTGAATGTAAGGGTGCAAGTTTGGGGAGATTAAGGTGAAGAGGTAGATGGCGATAGGTTGACAGAATAGGATGACTACGATTAAGTTGAGAGCGATTCCTTTTACGTCGGATAAAGCGGGGATGTTTTGCTGGATATACTGACCGCCTGAAAAAAATGCCAAAAAAATCGTTCATGTAGGCAAGTAGCGTAAATTTTCAGATATCCGATCGCACACTCTTGCTAACTTAGGCGGGTCCGTTTACGATACTGTACATTCTTACGAATTTTTGCAGAATATATACAGTTGTATGTATACTTCCACACATCTACATATGTACAAAATAGAATTAATAGGTTTAAAAATGTTGTGAAACGGTCTAGGAGGACTATTTTGTAAACTTTACAGTTTTATTTTGCTTCGCCAAGCTTTCGACAAATAAATATTGCCTTCTTCAGGGTCAACGTAGATAATATAAATATTTTACAATTAATCACTCTCACAATTTCTAGAACTTGATAAATTACATTAATCCTCTTGGAAATTTACGGATTTTTTATAAATGGTAAAATTTTTGGTGTCCATAATAGGTTTAAGTAAAAATCCTGGCGAGGACGCAAAAACTATAGATTTTTTTAGTATAAAAGAAAAATAAAACGCTCCCCTTTCAGTTGTACGTTCCCACATTTCAATTATTATGCAGGTTAGAATGCATTTCACTCAGGAATTTCCTCGGCCGTGGAAAATTTATTTTTAAGTTAAAATACTCGGAGGTGACTGGCCCAAATTTGGAACCGAAATTAACTGGTATTTAAGAGATGTGTGGAATTATGTTTACATGTTGCAAAAATTTGTAGACGGAACAAGTCATTGTTCCATTGTTAATTATTAATAAGCGTATATCTTATTATGTATCTGTATTTTTACAAAATTGCATCAATTTGTATGTAAATGTGTTCAACTTACACAGTTTCTTTGCCAGGGCAGTCATACTGTTAAACGCATAAGTTGCATTCCTTCCTGCAATGACGAAAAGGGTTTCCATCACGAGGGCAAACGCAACCTGCCCACTCCAAAAGAATATTACAATTATATCCGTGAAGTCAAGATTAATAAATCCAAACAATTGCGAGACAAGGATGAAAATTAAGGTAGAATTTAAAATATTCAGGAAGCCATAAACAAGTATCACCCAAGGAATAAGTTTCCTTGAGAATGGGGTAAAAACCAAAGTTTTCGTCTTGATGTTCCAATCGACAGGATTTGTCCAAAATTTACTAAAATAGCAGGCACATCTATCCAAAGATTTCCACATTAATGTGGTAACCACCATTTTATTTTTTTAAATGTTGGGTTACACAGTTAAAGAAATGAAGTTGCAAATGTGCCAAGAGGACTATTAATATATGTAACTACTTAATTAGGGTTCTAAATAAAGCTACCGGTGAATCCATCTAATTGGTGCCTGAAATTCTAAAGGTTAATTAATTTTGTTTATTAAAGATCTATGTGTGTAATACGTAATAAGAAAATATGGTTAACCTAATTTGCCCCTCATCCAATAATCATCAGACGTGGGACTGCAATTTGTCATACACAACACAATGCTATCCAAGCTTTACTAATAGCTAGGGTTGCCGCGGGTAACGGGTCGGGTACCCGTTACCCGCATACCCGCACGATTCTTGCGGGTACCCGTTATCTGCGGGTAGCGAGAACCACCCGCACGGGTATCGGGTAGTTCAGTTTTTATTTAATTTCCGACATAAATCAGTTCACAAAGAAAGTTAGCAGCAAGTTAGTGCATTTACCAACAAAAGCTTCAATTTAATATTTATCACTTCAAAATTTGCCATAAACTAGCGCTTATAGCGAGCGTGTCTTTTTCGAAACCACAGAAGCCTACGGCAGCCTCAAATGCTTTTCACGTTCCGAAAATGCGGATAAATTATTGTTTCTCAGTAATTCTCAGGTATATGTAATTTACCTGCTGTAAAATATCAGTTGTCATAATAATTTGACTTGTGTTTGTGTGTATGTATTTTGTAAGACCAACGAGATTTTAATTTATGCTTTGAAGATGAAAATTCTGAATCAGATTGAAAGCAAAAATTTTATTGGTAGCAATTTTTTTAATGAAAACTTCATTGAAGTCAAAATTTCAAAAAATCAAACTAAACATTGACCTTTTTTCAAGGTACACCAAGATTCTCTAGCGAGTATTTATATCAGAAAGTCCAGCAAAAAATTAGGAATCGCGTGATACTTTCCGTTGAGTGCCCACTTTGAAGAAAAATATTGGCTGCAAAATTCAATTTTTAAGTAAATGTTCTGCTTCTTTTTCCTCCACTTAACGAAAACTAAGGCTAACTTTGAACTCTGCCACCCAATAGTTTTCTTTAAACGGGATATTCAACGGGAAGATAAGTGATAATTTCTAATTTTTGGCTTGATTTTTTGATATAATTTTGATATAAGAAATTCAGGTGTAGCTTGAAAAAGGTTCCATTGTAAGCCAAAAAGTTTGGTTTTAGAAACATCTAATGACATCTAGCAAATTATCGCATTCATTACTTGCACAGCATTATCTCAAACTACTGAACAACCCAAATGAGGAAATAATTGATTAAATCAGAGATATTATGAAGGTTGGTTAGTTTTTAACTTAATTCTTATAACGGGTAGCGGGTAACGGGTACCCGCACGGGTACCCGTGCGGGTACGGGTAATTGGGCAGCGGGTAACGGGTCGGGCAACGGGTAGCATTTTCGCTACCCGCGGCAACCCTACTAATAGCCATTAAAAATTTAAACTATAAATTGAACCAATTATTCATTTCATTCGTTTACAAAACAAAACCAAATTGAACTATAATTCAGACATTTTAATCTAAACGAACTGTACATATTGCACAAAGCGTGGTTCTTATTTGGCGGATTTTTAACCATTCAAAGCACAAGAATTACTTATTTATTTATGTGGACTAGACCCTTAGATTACACTAATACGTATGTATATCTAAATGCTTATGTCTACGGCATGGCACACTAAACTAAATCATTTCGCGTAATTTTTTCAAGCGTTTTCTTATAAAATCCCAAAGTATGAGTCAATCTTAAGAACGTTTACATTCGAAATGTTTCCTTCCCACTTTGGAAATTCCGAATAAATCGAAATATAATATAACGCCAGCCGTAACTTAAACCTGCCATAAAAAGTATTGTACTTGTTACTACGTCTCATTTTTCCTAACATGGTTGACTTCTCCTCTTTCACTGCTTTTTCAATCAAAATAATTACCCCAGCGGTAAAATAAAGTCCAAAAATATACACGAGGAATGTCCTAAAATGTGAAACCTTTAAGGAAGCATGCAATTCACCAGTGACGCGGCTACCCTTATTTCGCAAATCACTTATAAAAGAATCAGTATCTACATCCTTCTGATTTTGCAATTTATACGTTACAAATCCTGATGTGAAAAATGCCCCAAATATTTTCAAAATTCTAGCATGAAACATATTTTTGCTAACAGAATTATACAAATATCTCGAAATCGACTCTTTAGAAATTCCAAAATGGCGGTCAACTTGGACTATTCGTTCCAGTATAGCGGCATCGTCAAAAAAGGCGTCATTACTATTGCGCAGCCGATCATCGATCTTCTCCCAATTTTCAACAACATCGCTTTTTAAGGCATTCAAAATCCTGACATGTTTTGACAAATTTCTTGCATCAATTTCATTCTCAAATAGATCAATCGCATTGCTAATCCAGACAAATGGACATGTTCCATTGGTCTCCTTTTCCGTACAATTTTGAGTTTCAAGTTGAAATAACCCCCGCGTGAAAGTAGCTCTTCCTGCGTCAATGATTTCCCCAAAGGATTTTGGGCCTTTGAGATACTTCGGCTTCAGCAAACGTCCCACAATCTCACCGCGATATGCTTCCGTAATCACGACGCAGAAGAGAAGCCAGGTGCAAAGCGAGACTCTAAACGGGGTACTTTGAGACGGCAATATTTCCAAGTGCTGATCCAATACCATCCTTAGTATTAATTCTACCGAAGATAGCCAACTCCAAGGTTTATTTTTCCTCAATTTCAAAATTGCGAACATAAAAATTGCCATAATTAAGCTAGCCGCGCAAAACATTATTGCAAAAGTCGTACTGTAGGGGCCCTTAATTCTACTAAAATCAAACCGATTTGATCCTAATCTAGTGATAAATTTGATCTCTTTCTTTTCCCCAAAACTTAAAAGTTCTTTATAAATGGTGGAATTTGTCTCCCAGAAATTTACAGATTCGCACAACCTTTCGTCACTTGGGTGCAGCAGGTGAACAGAAACGTTTAATATTTCCTGAATCTGGATAGCCAGGTATGCCTTAAGTGTTAATAGATGCACAAATTCTCGCGTCAGTTTGATCCCTGGTCGAATTTTCTTTACCGCGGTGTCATTGTGTAGCCCCGCGTTTCGAATGAATATTGGAGCAGAGTGGAATTTTGTTTGAACGGAGAATCCGAAACTTGTCCAGTTGGATGCTTCTTGACAAAAGTGGCACAGTCGGAAAGTTCCTGTCGAATTTATGAGAAATGTATATGGTGGATAATTATCTCCGGTGAGTAACTGGAAATTAGGTATATTTTGTATCACGATGGTCACAGAATTGAGCAGGATTAAGGAAAACTTTTCTTGTAGCAAATTTAGTAAGGAAATTGGAACTATAATAAATTTGTTGTATTTTGCTTCGTTAAATTTCGCAATGGCTGATGATTCATCATTGTTCCACGAGGGAGTACCGTTTTTAAGACACGGCTCAATTTTTAGGTTGGGATTTGATAAATTGTTATGTAGAAATTCGAATAATTCTGAGTTTGACGAATTTATATCTCCTATCGTGATTAAAGACTTGGGAAATCCAATATTCAGGATAATTTGAGCCACTATTTCTGAAATTTTTTGTGCACTTGGCGAAACAAATAAATCGGAAGGAGGTATTTTCAATAAAATTATGAAAAACAATGTGCACAGTTTTATGTTTGGGTACATTTTAGGTTGGCGAAAAGCGGACTGTCTTATCTAAAGTGGATAGACTATCAGCGTTTATTTTCGTTTTAAAATAGTTTAAAGGTTAAACTTACTACATGAAAGTAGTAAACGATATGTGTTTATAAGTATTCATCCTAAAAGTATTTCGGTGCAGTTGCCAGTGTTGTAATGGAATTACACAATACTTGAAAAACTTTAGTTTGCATGCAGAAAGTACATACATATCCTACTTGGTATATGGCATGCATTTTCCTTTAAGTATGTACATAATTACATATATTGCCAACATTTGTGTTCCAATATGTGGAGAAACTTGATAAATAGTAGGCATACATCCATATTAATTTAGTGGTTCAAGTTTGAATTTTGTGCTATATTATAAAGTCGAATTAAGTACGCCTTTAAATACAGTATGCTCACCATGCAGCCGGGACTATTTTAAGCGTCGCCGAATAAATTTTGGTGGTTATTTATATATGACCTTCTTGAGTACTACTACTACATAAGTAAAATTGTTCAGAAATAATTAAGTTATTCATTAAAGTACACGGGGTATCAATAATTTTCTTCGCACCCTTCATACCGTACAATACTTTAGGAAGAAAGATCAAGGAGTTAAGCTTCGTAAAATTCGCAAACTTGGTGTGAAGTTAACCCTCTGATTTGGTTGAAATTTTAAAATTATGTGGTCCAAATAAATGCAACCAACTTTTCTTGACGCCGTTTGTGCGTTGGTTGGAATATGCCAAAATATTTGAGGTCAACGTCGAGAAATGGGCGATGTTTTCCTTCGAAGGGAGTGGGACTGGGTTCCTCCGCTTGGTAAGAATCGCCGATTTTTTCAACTTTAACTTCAAATATTTTGACTAATTACAATCATCGCAAATACTGCCTCAAGAAATTTTGGTTGTATTGAGTCGGTCTGGTGTCAATTTGCATACAAAATTATTCCCTAACGTATTTAACCTAAATAGTTACTTTGCATAAAAGGTCATTTTGCATACCGCGGTTTTGCATATTCGTTCATCTCCTCTTCTTTTCTCTTTTCACAAACTTCACCCGATAAAATGTTTAATAATTAAGTTATTCAGTAAAATGTCTGGGTTCTACCTGACACCTATTTTGGATTTGAGTACGACGTCCGATAATTTTATGGAATTGTTACACACGTTTTGAAAATTCCACTCCTCGCACCAATAGACGCTTGGCATTTTCGAATGAAGACCATTTGTAATGGGTCTCATCAGAGTAAGTATGTGGAAATGTTTCTAAATTTTGTAGGCAGATCAGATATTGCTACATTGACAATGTCAATTTGACATTGATACATTGACAGGATCATTGGAGGTTCAAAAATTCAGGTTATTGTTGAAATTTATAATACTGCAGTTGAAATTCTGCAATATTTCCGACCAATTTCGTATTGCCTATACGATTTTAGTTCTCATTAATCAGTTGTCATTAATTTTTTACAATTATGAGAAAATGAATTATGGAAACTGGTTGTTTATACCATGTGACTTTTATGGGATAAAAATTCTGCAATATAACCGTTATGGAAAAGGGATTATGCAAAGTGACCGGAGACGATTGAGTCAATACTATTGACTTATTTTAAATATTCAACCAAATCGAAGGGTTACCCTTCACATCATCGCATTGTTAGTAACATGATTTTCGATGATACAATCTTACGACGCTTATAAAATCTCATACGCATCGTAGCTGCTTATTTTGTGACGAGATTATTAAGAAATATTGAAAAGGGAAGGGAATGAATGGTTATTAAAGGGTTGAATTTTATGTACACATGCTTCGTCAAGAAATGAGAAGCACCCATGTCTATCATATCATTAGATAAAATAAGGGACAACTCTCACTACGCCGCAGGGTTGAAGTGGGTCGTGCCTAAATAGCTCAGGCAGCTTTACCTTTTACTGTAACGGATTCCGGCAAGGGTTGCGGTAAATGTGGTACTACTATAACGCCTCATGTAATGTTGCATGTGCCTTCCTAAACGAGGCTAGTTATTTTTACCCGAAGGGAAAGGTGATTTACGACTTGTCCCTGAATTGGATGGCTTATTTGGTTTAGATAGGTAACAAAATGCAATCTTTTTCACATCACGCGAAATGCTACTCACTTTCCATCCTCTTACTCACCTGAAACACTTGAACAGGTAAGAAACGAACTTTAACATTATTCCATACATTTAGCATAACTACATATGTATATATTTTGTTAAAACTAATTCGGATTTTTTCATAATTTAATTTTCGCCACTACTTATTTCGAAAACTATATCAATAAAAACAAATATATTCGAAATAGATTCAATTTGTTGGGTACATTTTTACATATATTTATTTATGTAGCTCATGGTCCTCCCATCCTAATGGATCTCAAATCACGCAAGAAATGGGATTGCACAACGTGCTCAAAAACGTTCAAAAATAAGCACTACCTTAACCGACACATCAAGACGCACGACCTCCACGTCAAGGTGAAATGTGAGGTAGACGATTATGTAGATTTACTTACACCTAATTTTTCAATTTCGAGCATCCAAACATTATGCTCACTTTCTCTTGGTTAGATTTGTGGAAAAACTTTAAAACATGCGGGAATCCGGTCTCAGCACATGAAAAGAAGTCACAGCAGCCGAAGACGACCCAGTTGCAGCATTTGTAAACGCATGTTTTTCTGCCTTTCTAGTTTACGAAATCACATTGATAGCGTGCACAGTTCAATCGAACGGCCTCGTTTTCCATGTGCATTTCTCGGCTGTGAGAAAACATACCAAACGAAGTTAGGTGTTTCGACACACGTGAAAACTGAACATGCCGAGAATCCGACCAGGTATCCGTGCACATTTTGCGGAAAGGAATTTAAAGCCAGGGCTGACCTTCAAGACCACATTACCACCCACACGACGGAAAAGGCGTACAAGTGTGCAAATTGTGGAAAGGGTTTTGCACGAATAGGTCATTTAAAATTCCACGAGGTAAATACTTATTTAGCAGCGGTGGGCGAAATACTTTGGTAGTAAAATACTACCATCTATTTTGTATCTTGATTAAGTCTAGATTCAAGTATCTTGACAAAGCAAGTGACCATAACAAATAAATTGGTAATGCTAATTATTTTACAGAAGACGCATTTGGACAAATCCAGCCGAGACTTGTTACATTGTCACGTCTGTGCTCAGACCTTTTTACGTAAAAGTTCTGTACAACGCCACATCCGAGTTGTACATGAAAATCAGAGGAATTATCTGTGCAAATTTTGTGCCAAAAGGTTTTCCAGCTCAGCACACTTGACACGTCACGTGGAGGCGAGACACCCGGGGAATATAGAACTGATCTATTCCTGCGAGCAATGCGGATACAAGACTCACTCAAAGGGCTATATAGCAGATCATAGGAAACGGCACTTAGCTGGGACCCGTGGATGTTACTTTTGTGGGAAGAAATTCATCACTTTTCAGGAATTGGTAAAACACTGTAGCGGCATTCATACTTTGGAGAAGTAGAAATCTTGCTCAGTTCAGCGGTGAGTCGGGTCGATGTTTTTTAAAACCTATCCGCCTAAAACATGACTCAATAATGGTCAACTCAAGGCCCAAGCTTAATTTTATCGTTTGTAAATAATCCACGTGCCTTTTGAATATGTAAGCACTTGTCGTCAGAGTTTAAATATTATTTTGTAAAGTTGTTAACTTTTGTAAATATGTAAATTCACGAAAACATATTTATAATTTTTAAGCAAATTCCATATCTAAGAAGGTTGTGACCGAGTTAATTTGTGGGTAGAAACTAATTTTGCAAAGTATTGGATATCTAAGTTTATAAATAATTTAGTTAGACTATCTTGTCAGGTAAGGTTGTTGCAGAGACGCCACTACACAAACTAGATTGACCATTATTTTATTCCTTTTTGTCTTTAATTGTAATACATATGTACACATTTATCCGTAAAAGGATAGCAATAAATAGTCATTCATTCAATTAATGGTTCATTATGGGTAACGAAAAACGAAAAACGCTCATAATTTTCGGAATCTACGTTAAATTTCCTATAAAACGGATGCGTTAAATGATAAAAATTGATTTCCATAAAGCAGATAACTATTTATTTATGACACCACAGAAAAAAAGTACGATTTAAATTTGTTCTTACTGTATGTTTGTATGGTGCTATATATATATACGATTTAATAGACATGACCGACCACTAAAGTCCGTTTCACCTTACTTGGTGTTACCGCCACACGAAAATAACATGGGATTCTCATCTTCCTTGTTTGTGGCGGTAACACCAAGTAAGGTGAAACGGAGTTTACTTGGACATCAAAATCTTTATTCTCTTCAACAACTCACGCTCCTCTTTATCCTTGCAAATTTGCTTTATCTTCCGAACTATTCTGGAAGCATTTGCTAAAATTATTAATCTACATTCGCCTACCAAACATATTATTGACAAGGAAATAATTGCAGCACAAATATAAAATAAACTGGTAACACCTTCACTCATATTCATTCCTTTCTCCAATATTTTCTCTTTTGCTTTCACTGCAGAAATTCTATACTTAACTTTCCTAGCGGTAATTTCTTCCTGTAATCTCAAGAAAACCCCTGCTTCGACTAGGAATTTATAATAAAGCGGGACTTTCAAAGATCCCGCCCGTCTAAAAACCCATCCTTCTTGATTCGCCTCTAAGATTTGGTTCCCCTTATAAAAATTTTTATTAGGATACTTCCTCCTCAAATATTCATACTCAGCCTGAACCATATTTGACTTGGAGATCAATACCGTTTTCCCACAATTTACAACCTCAGTTTCAACCAAGGAATCCAAAAATGTAAGATTTTCACTGATACTAAGGGATTCGGGTACATATGCAAATTTCGGATTTTCCAGATGCAATAGGACTAGAATTTCTTGCAAGTCAGAGGAAACCTTATCTGACCAAATATTTTCATAGTTATTATTTCTATCCAGCACAATTTCTCTAATGAAACTTAAAAACTCATACTCCGGCTGATGCGAATCGACCTCAATGCGAGATAACAATCTAAAACAGTCGCCAGAAATTTTTGAAACATCGTTTCTAATTTGATCTGAATTTTTAATCTTATCCCAGCCTCCTAAACGATCCTTACGTATCGCATTTCCAATTTTCTTCCATTCCGAATCCTTCATAGTTCCAACCTTGTACGAGTTTAACGCCCTCATCCACCCCTCGTATTCTGCTCCACAAACTAAATCCGTAAATTTCTCGGGAGCATATTGTCTCACCGGGGAGACAAAATCTTCCATCATGATCCCATTATAACAATTCGTTAGCACCACCGTCACCAGAGACCATGAGCCAAGAATTATTCGAAAAAAGTACGCTTTTTCAATTTTATTCGGGACGGGGACCGATTCTTCAAAAATGGAGGACACAAGGTAAATCCATGGCGAGAAAGTCGCAGATATTTGCTCCTTCATAATTTTGAAGTGCATCCACACCGTCATGACAAGTATGACTAATCCTACACATAGAAATAACCCGACCCACATTTCCGGTTGGAATGGCTTTGTGTAAAATTCGAGAGAGAAATTCGACTGTGTGTAGCACGTCAGGAATTTATATCCCGAAATACCTGTCGTTATCCGGGTCGTATAATCTATGTCGGTTCGGTCCAACTTGGTTTTTCGCAAAACTAATGGCCAATAGTAGACAGACTTTGCACAAATAGGATCTCTCTTTTTGCATGCATACATGGTCGCATTTGATTTTTTGAATACATACTGTGCCACCTGCAACTCGATGGACTCATTTCTCCTGCGATCAAATGGGTTAGACTGTAGAGGAACTACATTTAATCGATAGACCAACCCAATTATTGGAATTTGCCAATGAGTCGGAGGTGTCCTTAGGTTCGCAATTTCGTCCAACATTAGAATATCCCAACTTACTACTTTGCACAGCGTATTTTTTGCAAGCGGGGATTTCCCTTCGATTAGGAGGCAAAGTTTGCAACCAGCGCCGTTCCTAAGTTTAAATACGAACGCGATGTCGTCCAGATACATTAGTTGGGAGAACAGGAAATCAGTTTGGGGTGAATTTTGTACTATATCCGTGTCTGTAAGGATGATAAGTGTGACATGTTTGGAGTCCAGGGGTTCCCGCGAAATTTGATTATGTACATTGTAGTAGAAACTGTGAGACATTGTGTTTTATCCATCCATTCTGCCAGTTTGGTTGTTCTGCGACCTTTTCGATTTAGTAGATCCGTTCCGATTAATATTTTGATTTTGCAGTAGAATTCCCGTGTGCGAATGATGGGAAGTGGTAGTGGATGTGGGAGCTTGTTAAATTCTATGTTTTTGAAAATTAAATCATGCCAGGCATGGTTTCTGCTGACTAGTTTGAATATTCTGGAAGGGAGAAAGTTTCTGAAGCGTAGTATCTTAGAATCTACACCATCGTGGAGAATATTAATTTCGCAGTTATTCACGCCGATGAGTAAAGTTTGTAGAGGGAGAAAGACCGAGGATGAAAATCGGAGTAAGATGAAAGTTGTAAAATTGAAAACTAAGAATTGGAAATTCATTTTTAGTAAGGAAATAAACAGTCGAGTATTGATAAATTAAATAAGCTATGTATGTACTACAAGCTTGTGTACTGGGAGGTTATGTGATGCCGGATAATGTGTACAATTCGAATCATATATTAATAATTAATAACTGCTCTTATCTAAATTTGTTGATTTTTCATAGGATATTGATCATTCTAAGAGATTTTAATTATTCATGAGGTCGCCATTATGAGAATTATTTACGTAGGTATGTATAAAAGAGTGTGTGATTTAGTGAGAATGCCGATTCTTTGTCGGTCCGTCTGTTGACCTAGTTTTTGGTAGGGTAGAAATCTACATCTTTCTAACCATTTCTGACCCCGAGGAAGGGATCAAAAATTTTAACATTTTTGTTTTAGCTATTTTATGTGTAATCTACCGAAGTCGACAAACAATTACGTACATAAGTGGCCGATCTTCAACTTGGTTTCACCCTTATTTTTATTGTTAGTTTATACCGTATTATTTTCGTATGCGCGTAAATATCCGTAAGTAAACTATCAGTCAAATTGACTGAAATTCATTTTGAAGCTAATAAATGCATAATTTTTAATTAAAATTTTTAATACTAACCATGACGGGAACGTGCAAACGAATTTATGGCAAATAAGTTTGAAAACCCATTTTATTCATAACGATGAGATGCAAATACGCTCAATGTTTGACGTATGTAAATGAATAGAAATATTTTACACTTTGCATAATCATTCAACGTTCATATTTACTTATCCGTGGAAATTACCATTTACAATCTAAGCTCATCAATTATTTCGCAACTTGGGAAATGTTAACTCCGTTTTTGCATTATTATACTTTCCAGAAAGTAATCATTAAATAAACTTATCAAATAATTCCCACCGTATGTCATGGCAATTATATAATCCTGATAGTATTAACACAATCACTTAAAAACTATCTGACCGCTCTCTCTTGCTTATCTGGATCACCTTATCTGCACTCCACGCCCTACAAGAATTACATGCACATGCAAAGTGAATTTCCCCAACGAAATATGACGGAAATACCAGATAATGCAGAATATACGAGTCGCATTAACAGTCATGCTGCCAGATCAGTTCGTGTTGCTCATCTCGCATCAGGATGCACCCGACCCGTCGATTTGCACTATTTTTGGTCTGTTCCATCCTAACTTTTAATAGACAAGGTACCTACATAAACTTACTAACTTAATAAATATGTCCACTGTTAAAAATCCGGTATGGTCAGGCAGGTATTGATTTCCCGGTATTAAAGTTTCTACCGCTTGGTATTAAAAGTATACGGGCCCGTAAAAATTTGCTGCCGATATGGTAAAACTTTAATATCGAGCTATTACAAGACCGTATTTATTACTTATCAATACCATTTTGGTAGAGTCATGTATATATATGATTACAGCTTGGTATTATTTATTACTGAATTTTTTAGTGTTGAATCGTTAGAACTTTACAAATTTTAGCTTTTTATCCTGAATTACTAAATTTCCAGGAACTTGTCAGGATGGGCTGCAAAATTTTGTTTACTCCACAATGCTCGGTTTTAGCGAATGGATAGTAGAACAAGGTCTCGATCCGACGCCACCACTACGGAAAGAATACGGCATGACCTTCTCTAACGCAAATTTTGAATTGGACGGAACGATGGAGTAAGTTTTCGTGGAAATAAGTTACAAAAAAATGCACAATTAAAATTAAATATTACATCAAAAAATTCATAATTCGCACAAACATATTTTTGATCATTATTTTTTTTAGCAACATCTCCTTACACGGATTATCCCACAGTACGATCAATATCGACATTACGAGGACTAATTATGCATCTCAGCTTATCGATATTGATTACCAAACGACCATTGCAGGAGTAGCCGGTACAGATGCATGTTCATTAAATAATTTTTATTAAATAGTTAATTAATTAAATTTAATTATGTACATACTTATATATTCATATTTCAGGCGTCTATTACAACGCGAGGGGTCTGGTCGCTCAGGAATATCCGATATGTTCAGATAGTGGAAATTGGTCCGTAACATCTGGCATTTTTACGGTCACGTTTAAAAGATCTTTTAAAATTGAGAACGATTACATCATATTGGACCCCAATGACGGAAATGGTGACCATTTCACCATCACTGTGGATGACATGGACGCAACATTTGACGGCTTACTGACCCCTGACGCAGCCGAGTATGAGAGGGAAATGATGACGCAAATCGCTTCAGAATTGTGCAACCGATTAGAAGGAGGGAAGATATTTATGGGTCCAATATTTACCCAGTTTTTGAATACGGCCCTTTCAGTAAGCTAGAATTTGCGTAAATTTGTTAAGCGTCGTGCATAAAAAATGGGAGCAATTTTAATTCACCATTGTAGCGCTGCCACTTGGGCAGTGTTTCATGCGCCTGCAAGAAATTGTGAAAAAATTCATGAGTATAAAAAATTGCACAAAATAAGCCATCTAGCGGAAAATCCAAATAATTAAGTTTAGAACAATGGGTGGCGCACATTTCTTAAATTCTTTGCACCTAGCAGTTTTTACAGCACTGATAATTGGCAACATTTCAAGCAAATAGACTTCATACTTTATGCACGACCCTCATTATTAAGGCAGTTATATATGTAATTCTTACCAATTTTTTAAGGTTACCACAGTCAATCAAATCATCAATTGGCCCACCCCCTTAAAAACCGCTGCCCAGGAGAAGAACACATCAAAAATTGGGACACGTTCAAAGTCAAGCAGGAGCGTGGGTTGTCCACCCCCAGTGACGACTCCACTGCCTGGTGGCGGTGGCCGAAGTGATGCGACGCAACACTCCCTACTTGGAAAATTGCTGGTTTTAACAACTTTGTTTCTAAAACTTAAACGAGACTATTAAAAATGAATTCTTGGAATTTCGTTGGATATTTGCATATAATACTAAATGTTCATATGCTAATATGTTAATTTAATTTAATTTAATATAAATTTACTTATGTATGTACGTATGTATGTACATATGCAGTTACACGCGTATACTAACTGTACTAAATATGAATTATTATTTAGGAATTGTAAATAAATATGTATGTAAAGCATTAATCAAGCACTGGTCACTAAGGAGCTATGTATCTACTTATTTTATTTATAAGAGGATTTAATCTAAATAATTTCTGAAATTTTTTCGAACAAATTTGGAAAAATTTCAGCTGAATTAATATCCATCCTAAACAGAATGCGGATTTTTCGGTTGAAACAAATCGAACCGAATAATTCGAATTCGGTTCAGATCCTTTATCCCAAAGTGGGATAACCGACTCCACTCTGCAACCCAATACATAACGGCATAGTCATACATTTGTAAGCAACCATGCATAAAGTATGGGTTCGACTGGTAGGAATTCAATAATTAAAGAATTTTGTGGAGCATATTTACCTATATGTATATCACCGTACGTTTGGAGGGATTACAATTTTCTAAGAGTATATTTAGTGCCTGATTTTTACCGTTTCTAGAACCTGCCAACCTCGTTAGTTATTTTTATCCGAACTTCAGTAACCTCCAATTTCTTTGCGGCATGCAGCTCCAAGGCAATATTTGAAGAATGCGACCTTTTTCCGACCCAATCCACCATTCACTTCACTGAATTACACACTGCATTCAACAACATCATAAAAATCATTGAAAAATATATTGTTTCGTTGTTGCAACCGGTATCAAAATTGTGTAAATACGCAAATGGACGCTAAAGCTTATTTTAAGCAAATTTATTTAATTTGACAAATCCAACCTAATTTTAGTGTGTAGAAGTTACGATATTCCTTAAAATACAATCTAAATACACATGGATTCCAAGAAAAAATGGGAATGTTCCACGTGCTCCAAAACTTTCCAGTGAAAAAGTTGGCTCAGGAGGCACATTGACACACATGACACCAATGCCAAAGTGAAATGTGAGGTGAGCGATGATTAAATTCGTAAATTTAAAACTATTTTCACAATTTCTTCCATCAAGACATAACAAATACTCATTTTTGGATATCTTAGATTTGTGGCAAAATTTCGAAAAATCCAGACACCTTATCTTCTCATATGAGGGGAGTCCACACCAACCGAAAACGCCCCAGTTGTGACACCTGTCACTGGGAATTTTACTCCTCACAAGATTTACAGCGCCATATTGACGTCTTCCACAGCACGAAGGAACGACCCCCTCGTCCGCCATGTGCATTTCCCGGCTGTGAAAAAACCTTCGGAAATAAATATGTATACTTTCTGCACACGTGAGAACTCACCATGCCCAGAATCCGGTCCGATTTCCGTGCACACTTTGCGGGAAAGAGTTCAAAACGAGGCCTGAAGTTCAGCAACACATGCCCACCCACACGACCGAAAAATCGTACACGTGTGCAAATTGTGCGAGGGGTTTCACCCAGGTGGGAAGCATGCAACGCCATGAGGTACATAAATACATACGAAGAGCTTGTTGGAAAAAACTGGGTGAAAAATTACCACTGTGCATATTCATTTTACAGATGACGCACGTTGACAAGTCTTCCCGAGATGTAGTACACTGTGACGTCTGCCCTCAGACCTTCTTAACTAAGGGTGGTCTAAAAACCCACATCCGAGTTGTGCATGAAAATCAGAGGAATTATTCGTGCACATTTTGTAACAAGAGATTCTCCAAATCGTCAAGTTTGAAGGGTCACGTGGAAGTGAAACATGTCACGAATAAAGATCTGTTCCATTTCTGCGAGAAATGCGAGTACAAGAGCCACTCGAAACTATATTTAGCTCAACACATGAGGTGTCACAATATTAAGAAAAGGCACGAGTGTTACTTTTGCAAGAAACAGTTTGTCATCTATAACAGATTGGTCAGACACTGCAGCAGATTCACTGTCTCGAGAAATGAAAGAGTAAATGTATGCTTCTAATTTTATTCTTGGTTTATTGTAGTAATGTTCTATGTACATAAATATTTATGTACACAAAAAGTTACAAATTAAATTTCAATTAAAGACAAAAACAAATTAAATGAGCCGGCGTAAAAATATCCTGATCCTTGCTTGTCCATCAGTGTCCATCTCATCCATACAAAACCAAGCTTCTTCAAGTTTGGCAGCTGGAATGTGTCATCGAACGGCAGGGCCGCGACAAAATTTGTGTCGCAATGGTAAACATTCTTAAAGTAGAGTTCCAATTCGTCCAAATTCACGGCTAGCGATAAAAGTTGTCTCATTTTTGCGAAGAAATTCCTGTAATATTTTAAATCAGTTTAAAGGTCTGCTTAAATTTATAACGTTGGGTTTATATAAATATTTAAATATACATATGAAAATAAAACTAAATTTTTACTTTGTAGTTTCCACATGTATCTGTAGATATCGAACTTTATCCCCATCAATTCTCCGCATTATTTCCAAAGGAATGTTGGGGAAGCGTGTTGGGGTGGAAGGAATCGATGAAATGAAATCTTGGGGAGTGCCGATGGTCATTTCGACGATGGACCTCTTCGGAATTCTTCCTCCCTTTTTCAAAGTTTCAAAGTATGATTGGAATCTCTCACTCCACAAATAGATTTTTGATTTCATGTCCAGCAGCTTAACCGCTTCCGAGTAAAAGGTAAAGCTTGTACTGGCACAGGTCTTCAAATCCTTGACCGCCAGATTATCCAGAATTAGGTGGACCAGCTTGAAAAAAAGTATAAAAAATTACATAGTTCAAAGTTTTTTTTTATTTCGTGCAAATTTAATTAATATTTTTACCAAAGAATTGGAGAGAACGTTCCGTTCCGCGGTGGTATTAACGATTTGGACTTCGTCGCTAATTTCGTTAACCACTCCGTCTCCTCTTACTGTCGTCATATTTCAAATTTTTATTTCAAATTTATCTTAGTTCCTGCGAGGACTCTAACTGAAGCATAGTTAGAGTTCCTGGAAAGTGTATTTGAAAAAAAGCACACGTAAAACAGATGAAAAAGTGAGATTTTTGGAGCACACACGATTTCGTTTCAGCTGCCAAACGTGGTGGCTGCAACTCTCACCGCCACCACCACCAATCCCCACATATCCTGACGTCAAAAATGACGTATAGGTGGCATACTCTGCCTAATTTCGGAGTCGCGGCTCTCCAAATTTTAGGTTCTACGATGGTGGGTCTGGTGCAGAAATAGGGGTGCAGACGCCACCTATGTGATTTCAACGTCATTTTTTGATGCCAGGATATGTGGGGATTGGTGGTGGTGGCGGTGAGGCAGGGTGGTGCACCACCGTCGTGGGCGAAGCACGCACTGCTTGGGCGTGCAGCTGCCACCACGCGCTGCGTGAATACTACCGATTAAGGGGGAAAAATGAACCCTCTATCGATGCGTTTTTCCTTATGCACTTTCCGCGAACCCTTTCTGGCACCTCCAACTCTCAAATGCCAGTTGGGTTCGCCGCGTGAACTAAGGAGGGGAGCTTGCGAGGTTGATAATAACAGATCCTGATGCCCTTTGGATATGTGGTAGGGACCAATGAGTGTACTAAAACCCTGAAGTGGTTTAACTCCATGGCCACATTTGCGCCCGCCACACCCACTCAAAAATACCCAAAAAACGCTTTCACTCCAGTTTTCACTCACTCAAAACCTCGCCAAAAATCCAATTTTACTCGGATTTTGAAATTTCTTTCACCATTACACTCCCAGATAGTTGCTTTCTTCAATCCAATATCAAACTCAATTTTGCTGATGATTATTTCGCAGGGATAATTTGCGTTGTTGATTACTACAACAATGCTCATTCAGAATTTTAAATTTTAAAAATACTAAAAATTTCGAAAATATTGAGTTTGATATTGGATTGAAGAAAGCAACTATCTGAGAGTGTAATGGTGAAAGAAATTGCACAATCTGAGTAAAATTGGATTTTTGGCGAGGTTTTGAGCGAGTGAAAACTGGAGTGAAAGCGTTTTTTGGGTATTTTTGAGTGGGTGTGGCGGGCGCAAATGTGGCCATGGAGTTAAACCACTTCAGGGTTTTAGTACACTCATAGGAACCTACCACATATCCAAAGGGCATCAGGATCTGTTATTATCAACCTCGCAAGCTCCCCTCCTAAGTTTTTACCATTGTATATAGACAGAATCCAACTACACGTGTACACATGAACTTGATTTAATAAATAAAAATAAATAGTCCCTCCTGGTTGGTAAATTTGCGCTTTCTTGTGATTTTACTTACATAATCCGATTTTCTTGAGTTTGCCTCTTTTTCCCTGAAGGTTTAGTAATTCAATTTAACTTAATGGGTTTGATAAACTTTTTGAGGACTTTTATCAGAAATGTTTTAGAATTATTTTTATTTGGACTATTTTAAACTCGTTGAACTTCCATCCAACCAAGTCTCATTTTGCCTCATTTTTGCTAAATTTCTGCATACATATGTAGATATTTTGCATACGCATTTTTGCGTCAGGCATATACTCATCAACTCACATATGTAAATACATACATATGTATGCATATACGTAAAACACTACACTACGATTCATGGACATGAATCGAGTTTTGCCGTATTAGAAAATAATAATTTGGCTAATTTCAACCGTTTGGGTTGGATACTGTTGTCTCCTTCAACACTACTGTTTCTGACGTTATTCTGCAAAAGCAAGAATTATTTATCGATGTTGTGTCAAGCTATCTAATCCTACGAATATTGATTGCTCGTTGCTGTCCGTCTTGAAAATATGCATGTAGCAATTTACTGCCAAACTTTCGACCAGTGTTTTATCCTTGTCGATCATTCCTTAACTAGGTTTTTTATCGACCTTGGTCAAAACCTTTGCAGTTCTGTGAATTATTTAGCAGACACTCGTTGAACTTTCTCCACTAAAATGGACAAATTTGGGCAAAATATTAAGGTCATTGCTGTGGTATGTGATAAATTTTTTTGTTGCAAATTTTTTATTTGCAATTAATTTTGGTCACTCATTTCAGGATGATCCCCATTATTCGCATCAAGTCACTTTTAAAAGTAATAAGGACACTTCTGTAAGTTTTAGTACTGGTCAGTTCGTCGATATTTTACACCTGTTGGAATTTGCGCTAAATTTTACGTAATAAAAAATACATAATTTGCCAATTAATTTTCAAAAATTTCAAATTTCTTAATATTTTGATAGACATATCGCTCTTAAAGATGACGGATGGCCGAGCCGTCTTCCCAACGGAAATTGGACGGGAATAGCACATTTTGTTCAAAGTGGAACTGCCGACTTATCAATAACCCCGGTTTATTATGTTCCCGAGAGGATAAGCAATTTTAGCTTTCTAGTTCCAATTTCGTCGCAGTATTTAGTAGCTTGTTTTCGTCAGCCGAGGCAAAACCTAGCCATGAATATTTATACGTCCATGTACAAGATGGAAGTGTGGGTGGCGTTGATGTTTTTAGTGGTGGGGGCTTTCATGACAGTTGTTACAGGGGAGGAGATTAAGAGGAGATTGTCGTCATGGTTACCGAACCAAAGTGAGGAGTTGGATAAGACAGAAATACTCTGGTGGATTTTGGTCACATTGTGTAGACAGCAAAGTAAGAAATTCCAGTTATGAAAATTTTAATACACTGTTAGAAATCGGGTATTGATTTTTGGGTATTAAAGTTGTTACCGATTAGTATTAAAATCATACCGGTCCATAAAATTTTTTTACCAATATTGTCAAACTTTAATACATATGTATAGCTATTACTTCAACCTATTTATTACTTAAATGCCACTACCACTTTGGTAGAGCCATATATTAGTACTTAATACCACTTGGTATTATTTTAATACTGGATTTCTAAGAGTAGATTTTTATGCATACATAAATCTAAAAATTCCCACCTTCTTGTAAACCTTATATTTTTTGCATAGGTCGTTACACTGCTCACTCGTCGATCCAGTTAAGAATTGTCTTCACGTCGCTGTCCTTGACAATGATGGTCATCTTTGCCGCTTTAACGTGCAAGCTTCTTAGCACAGGGTGGCATGAAAGGACACTCCCGATTCAGAATGTGGAGCATTTGGTTAATGGCCCACTCCAATTTTTCGGGGACGACTCGACCCCCTTTGTCGCCGAGTATTTAAAGGTATTCAACATTTGTAACAAAATTGTCACCAAATTTAGTCACCGCAAATAAGTAGCAATAATATTCAAATTAGTTACCCAACTGGCAGCACATTGCAACGAAGGGTCTTTTTCATGGAAATTATTCTCACTTTTTTTGCAATCTTAGAAATCCAGTATTAAAAAATCCTAAGCGGTAATCATATCATGACTTTACCAAAGTGGACCACTTTAAGTGGTATCAATAAGTAATTCCTTGTGGTAATAGCTCTGTATTAAAGTACTATCATATCGGTATATATATATAGGTATATATATATCGGTATATCGGTATATATATATCGGTATATATATATTTCTAAATATGGACCGGTATAATTTTAATACCAATCGGTAACAACTTTAACACCGGGAAATCAATGCCTGCCTGACTATACCAGATTTCTAACAGTGTGTGGTAAATCTTTGGTAACAATTGGTGCACATATTTTGTAAAATGGTCTGAAAATTAAACTGATCACATAAATTTGTATACTAATCCACAGAGCTTTGGTGTAAAATCTGTAACGGGAATCGAGACGATTTCCGGTTTAAAGAAATCTATCACGGATCCAATAGCGTTCGTAACGTTTGATGCCTCTCCGTACCGGACATATCACATGCTAGGACTCACAGAACGGTTCATATGCGATGGCCTATTCCACTTTAAAATGCCGGGAAGTTCCAGACTGACGGGGTTGTTTGTTCAGAAAGGTTCAAAATTAAGAGAAATTTTTAATCAAAAGTGAGCATAAAAATTGTGTAATGCAAATTATGCACACATATTAATACAAGTATGAATTTGTAAGGATTATAGCATTTCGAGAGCTAGGATTCTTACACCGGTTGCACACCGTGTGGTCGCCGTCCGTTTTAGAAAAATGTAGCAGGGATGGAAATCATGCCAAAGGAAGCGTGGAAATCACCCCGGTT